AAAAATACTGTGGTATATATACACAGTGGAATACTACTCAGCTATTAAAAAGAAAGATATCCTATCATTTGCAGCAACATGGATGGAACTGGAAACCATTATGTTACATGAAGTAAGTCAGGCAAAAAAGACAAATACCACATGATGTCACTCATGTGGAATCTAAAAAAAAGGGGGGGGGTTCTCATGGAAATAGAGAGTAGCATAATGGTCACCAGAGGTGGCAGGTGGGAGGGGGGCAGGAAATGGGTACAAAACTGTGCTATCTACACTCAGTGAAACATTGTACAGTATATGTATGTATCAAAACAACATACCATACACCACAAATATGTACAAATAAATGATTTAAAAAAAAATTATGTGGGGCAACTTTTAAAATGCAGACACCCTGACCTAGCAGAGACTTATTGAATCAGTATCTCCAGGGCTTGGGAATCAGCATTTTGATAAGAACCAAGACTCACTTACTGCACATACCATTGAAGAATAACCACCCTACACCATGTGTTATTCCCCCACATCTTCCAAATGCTTTCAAGGGATTCGATTATGCCCCACATAGTAATACTGCAAAGGTGTATTTTATTCTATTTCAGTTCTTAGAATCTGGTGTTCGAGATGCATAGTACGCATGGCAACTTTATAGTCACCAGAACCTACTGTTGAACCTCTCTAGATCAGCACTGTCTGAAAGAACTTTCTGTGATGATGGGAATATCCTCTTTGCTTACCAATATTGAGCCACAAGTGGCTACTGAGTACTTGAAATATGGCTGGGTGGGACTGAGGAAATAAAATTTTAATTAATTTAAATTTAAATAGCCACATCTTGTGGGTGGCTACCATGTTGGACAAGGCAACTCTAATGAAAGTCTACTGCAGAGCAACGGGCATGTACACATCAACCTCTTCATTTTCTTAGAAATAAAATGGAATTCTACATGTTCAGTAAGTTTGCTTTCTCAGTGCCCTGAGCCTGTGTCCCCTTTACTATCTACCCAGACAAACTAGCCTATCATACATGCTGTTTTTAGGTCATTCTCTCACTATTTCTTCTTGTCCATGTAGTCATATCCCGAGGGCCACAGTCTACTCCTCCTTTTGCATCTGTCACTCCACAACCCACCACCTTGTTTGGTTTGCAACTTTCCCATGCTGTTCCTCCTACTCACGTGAAGTTGAGCATTTTTTCAGGTTACCGACGGCCTCAACATACTCCGCTCCTAAATATTTTTCATATGTGGTTTTGTCTGGAAGTTTGGCCAAACATACTGTGTCATCCCTGAACAGAAGGTCCTTGGTTTCAGACTGGAACAAACAAAACTTTCTCGAACAGTCTGTTACACTTCTTCCATACTCAACCTGTCAAATAGACAGAAAGTACATGAGGACCTGTGGCCTTGAGCAGCTGGGAACACATGGACCAGAGGAGGCTGAAAGCTCTGGACCAGCTCTGGGTAAAAAGAGAAGCTACAAAGTATACCTCGGGAATTTTCTACCTCCTTCACCTGCCATTTACCCACCTGGGGCCCCAACTCCATGCTTTCACAAAATCCTCTGTAGGATGCCGGTCCCATCTTCCTCTGAGAAGCCCCTCTCACCTACCCACCCCTCCTGCCTTCTCTGATCTCTCTTCCTCACTTCATTGCCCATATCCCTTGGGGGCTGCTTAGAGGAAATGAGAGGACAATAACAGGTCCCTTCCCTTG